TCCCAGGCACCCCCATACCCAGAAACCCCATTCTCAGCCCCCCCACCCCATTCCCAGAGATCCCATTCCCCCCTTCCCAAATCCAGGGCATTTTTCCCTGCTTTCCCATAAGCCTCCAAGCTGTGTCCCCCTCCTGCCCCCTTGGCCAGCACCTCATGCCCCTGGACCACCTCCAGGGATTGTCCTCCCATGGATGGGATCCTGGGCTTTACTGGGACAGCCCCAGTTTTCCCAGCTGGGATCAAGCCCTGGAACTGGGATGCACTGGTGGCAATCCCACATGGAGATTTGGGTGATTTACGGGGGTTTGTGGGCTTGCTCGCGCTGACCCCAAGGATGAGGAATTATCCCTGTGCCAAAAATATCCCAGGACAACCCCACCTTTCCCAATTCATCCCAGCCCTTCCAGGTGCCTTTGATGTCCCTGGGATGGGGGGAACAGAGGAAACCCCACCCGGGCTGTGGGGTCCGGGCTGGAGGGGGCATCGCCCAAGGTGGGCATGGGGTAATGCCCTGGGATCCGCCGGGATCCGCTGGGATCCTTTGGGATCGCAGCAGGGAAAGCTGGATCAGCCCATCCATGGTGGAGCTGGGTCATATTGGGGTCCTGGCTGGAGGGGGCGGCCACCAGTGTTCCCAGTACAGACCCCACAGTGGGAATGGGGCGGATCCTGAATAATGGGGTGGATCCCAGGGAAATGGGGCTGATCCCATGGATATGGAGTGGATCTCATGGAAATGGGGTGGATCCCATAGAAGTGGGGTGGATGCCATGTAAGTGGGGTGGATCCCATGGATATGGGGTGGATTCCATGGAAATGGAGTGGATCCCATGGAAGTGGGGTGGATCCCATGGAAATGGGGTGGGTCCTATGGATATGGGGTGGACCCCATGGAAATGGGGGTGATCCCATGGAAATGGGGGTGATCCCATGGAAGTGGGGTGGATCTCATGGGCATGGGGTGAATCCCATGGACATGGGGTGGATCCCATGGATGTGAGGGGGATCCTGACCCCCAT